CCTAGGGGAAGACCTAGGACACGCTGGAGCGATTACGTCGCTCGGCTGGCCTGGGAACGCCTTGAGGTCCCCCCAGAAGAGCTGGAGGAAGTGTCGGGGGAGAGGGAAGTCTGGGTGTCCCTGCTCAGACGGTTGCCCTCCATCGACCCGGCCCTGGATAAGCGGTTGATGATGGATGGATGGACATTGCATATATATATACCATAAAATAAACTTTCGGTTTTTGGCCGAAAGACTTTTATCACTGAAACAACATGGCCAGAGCAGGAAGTTATGATGACGCATGAGCACCGCAGGCTTGTCTGATAGTGCCAACATGTGTGCGGTGTGGACGTATTTTCATATATCTGAAAAAGACCCACGGACAGCAATTTGCAAAGCGTGTAATGCTGAAGTTTCAAGAGGGGGTGAAAAGTACAATCATGAGTCTGCTGAGTCTGTCAGCACACATTTCACTGAGATCTATTCCGATTCCCTGTACTCGTCGTGACTGTACTTGATCCGCATTATAAAGATCATTACTTTGATGCGGGAATAAGGTAGAGAGAAAGGATCCGGCCTGCAAAGGACTCGGAGAAGCTCACAGTGCAGGCACATTCGTTTTCTGATACATAGATCTGTGAGATCCTGCAAGAGAGTGTCTCAAATAATTATAATAGGTAGGCTATTATAGTGGCGCTTTGGCCCAGAGGCAATGTCTCTGTCATTGGTGTGGAACCCTAGGGTTCACCTCCTGGGCAAGAGCAAGTCCCGGTTAGGGCGGTTGGTACCTTCCAGTGGACTCACCACTCGCAGGAAGGTTTAGGGGGTGTAGGTACGGTGCAATGTGACCGGGTAGCGGTTGTGGAGACTGCTACCCCGCAACCCAGTAACGGATAAGCAGATGAAAATGGATGTATGGATGGATGGATGGATGGATGGATGGATGGTAGGCTATTCTGTTCTGACTTTCTATGTGACTATTATTTGATTTTATTTCTCTGTTAGACATTTGACAATTAATTATTATGACAATTATTAATTTATTTATCATAGACTTATGCAAGCGCGGTGCCTTGATTTTATTGAGGTTTAGAAAAGAGTCATAGTCATAAATGCAATGGTACCAATAACTGGCATAACAATTTCTTTTGGTGTTTCGGCTGTGACGAACTCCGCAGCTGCTTTGGCATCAGAGCTTGCGGCTTATCCATGCCGTACGATTGAATGTATGCCAGTCTAGAGCATTGGGAGGAACTAGATATTTCCTCGTATCACGAACAAAATCTAATCTAATTTTTATAATATTTACATATATATTTAGCTTTTACAAACCTCCCCCACACTGTTATCAACCCTCCCTAGACTGTATTACCCTTTCCAACACAATTATATGCACAGTACAGTTGTATAATGGAAATGTAAGACATACCTTATACATCTAATAAACTAAATACACGGCCATGAAAAACAATGTAAAATACATTCTAATTATATATTAAAATTCAATGTACATGCACATTTAAAGGTAAATGTCAAGAACATCATGATCACATATCACATATCGGGGAGTAGATCTCGCTTGAGAGCAACAGCGAAGCCTTGGGCCTGGCCGTGTTCATCCTGCAGCGTCTACTGTGGAACATAGACATCGTTGCTAAGTTTAGACAAGCCACAAGTACCACACCTTTACAAAGAAGGTGACTACCACCGACTGGTGGTTTTTGAAATGCTGTTTGAATGCTTAAGTAGAGTACATTTTTCTCGCTAAGACCGATGACTTTTTTTACACACCCAGTCATGGCATGACCTCTTTTTATTCCTCCTTACCACAATACAGGAAACAAGCGCTCAAAACGCATTAGAGCAACAGCACCAAAAATACGGTGCCCCATCAACAACAAAAATTGCCACAACCGCCTGACTCTGGTGGCACGAATAACAACAACGGTTCCCTCCTGTGGCCAACATAGGTCATTACCCTGTATTACTTGGTATTGTATTGTACGGTAATTAAATGTTCACCATATAACTCGTATTTTGTTATATGGTATATACACACATAATACATGTATTTGTATGAATGTGTTGCAAAATGCCTTTTCGTTTATTTATATACTGTTTTTCATCCTTTTTATGCTAGAAAATTGCTATTTTTTTCACAAAATAATTAAAATATTTTAAATTTAAAAATTTTATTTATCATAAAATATTGAGATATAGCAAAAATGTTGCGAGATCAGATTAAAAAAATCCACAAAATCCCGGGGTTGGGATGTGGCACATTGTGGCGCACAAGTCCAAAAGTTTGCCCACACCTGCTCTAGCCCTTCACCCCTAGACCTTCACTGCTGTGTCTCCTCGCTTCTGTTCTCACCTGATATGTTCATCAGTTACAGTGAAGGCCCTGCAGAGTGGCTGGGACGTGTTGAGCCAGATGGCTGGGTTCTTCTCAGCAGCCACCGACATCTGTCCAGTAATGGGAGACGAGCTCATGTGCAGAGCACTGGCGATGGCTGACAGGAGTATGTCATCGCTGGAGTCTGGACCAACACCTTTGAATAAAAGCAGAGGTCACAGGGCCAAACGGTGACACTGAATTCTTCCTCACAAAGCCGCGTTTAGTTTCCTGAGGCAGACTCACTCTGCAGCCCTTTGGGCAGATCCATGGTTCTCAGGACTTCTTCTGTGACATCAGATGACCGCAGACCTTTTAACCTTCTCTCCCAGAACAGCTACAGACAAACACACTTGTCAGGTGACCCCCACAGGAGTACTCCCAGCTCCACAAACTCTCTTCCTCACCTGTCTGGGCTGCTCTGTCGCCCTCTGAAGGTCTGTCTTCACCTTGTTCCCAGGATGAGTTGTTACCTTGGTAATAGGTTGTTTAAAGATAGAGGCCGTTTGTCTAATGGGCAGAGTTGTGTTCAGGTCCATCTTTCCTCCCTGCAGCAGAGAGAAAAAAAAAAACTAGTTTTGTCTTCTTGTCTTTCTTTTTTCTTGTCCTTGACTTTCTTTTCTCCTTTTCTACGTCTCACCTCATCTGTGTCTGCCTTTGATTTCATTGGTTTTAAATTTTGTATGTGTAAAGCATTGAACACTGTAGAGTTAAGATCTACACTCTTACACACAGCAGGATATGCCAGTGTGGTCTCCTTTAATGAGGTTTGAAGAGGTAAAACACACACACAAACACACGCGCACACACTTCAGCACTTTTCTGGTTTCCACCATAGAGCGTATATAAAACCTGGAGGAATGACTTGTGTTAAGATGCTCTAAATACATTTATTCAATCTTTACAATATATTCATTATGTTAAGTTTCCATATCAATTTATACTGTTATTGAATGCTGTTATTGTGCTGTACTAAAAGGGAAAGTGCTGAATACAGGTGTGCATGCTGATAGTTTACATAACAGGATGATATGGACAGCACTGAATGGTACCGACTGTTACACTTGGAGATACAGGACACAGAACTGGTTTCTTTGCCCAAATAAGGAGACC